AAACAGGAAGCTGGAACTGGGGGGGTCTGGTGGTGGAGGGCTCTAGGGGGTTGGCACTGAGGCATTTGGGATGGGTGGCTGGTACTAGGGGGCAGGAAACGGGCACTGTGGGGCTTGAGTACAGGGAACTCTGGGGTCAATGGCTGGTGCTGGGGGATAGTGGAGGGGTGGTGGGCTGGTGGGCTCTAGGGGTTAGGGCTGGTACTGGGGAATCCTGGGGCTGGGCTTTTGGCAGACCGGTAATGATTTATTTAAAAATTTGCATATTCATCATTTATGTAATGAGTATGCAAATAAAATGTTACCAGTCCACCAAAAGTTTGTGAATGGGTTTGCCAGTCCCCGGCATCAAAAAGTTTGGGAACCACTGTTCTAAAAGATGATGCTCAGCTCTGAGGTATTCATGGTCCCATCATTGTAACCCTGAAAATGAACCTACTTAATCTTTTTTATATATGTTTTATACCATCCTCATGACCACATCTGAGTGCCTTACAGTACTATGGTAAGCAGCACGAGTAACATTTGTCATATGAGTTTTGTTCTCTGTCTCAGGGTATGTCTAGACTACATGGCTCCGTCAATGGAGCCATGTAGATGAGTTTACTAGACATAGGAAAATGAAGCGGCGATTTAAATAATCACCGTTTCATTTACATCAAAATGGCCGCCACGCTGTGCTGATCAGCTGTTTGGCGGCACAGCGCGGTAGTCTAGACGCTCCGCGGTTGACAAGGGAAGCCTTTGTCGACCACTCTGATAAACCTCATTTCATGAGGGCTTCCCTTGTCTACCGCGGAGTGTCCAGACTACCACGCTGTCACCAAACAGCTGATTGGCACAGCGCGGCAGCCATTCTGATGTAAATGAAGCGGCGATTATTTAACTTGCTGCTTCATTTTCCTATGTATAGTAAACTCATCTACATGGTACCGTCAACGGAGCCATGTAGTCTACATATACTCTCAGTCTTCACATGGAGAGAATGGAGTGTGCAGTGCTTTTTTAAAATTTTGGTAGAGTTTTTGTTATGGATGGTATATGGGGGTTGATATTTAGTTTTTTTGCTTTAATATGTAGACATGGTTATGTATTTATACTAGAGGAGACCGGCTGAAGAAGTGCATCTTGCACTTGATGTGGAAGGTGAGATTTGTACCTGGATGACTTTCTTCTCTTCAGAAGTCATCCAAGGAGGTAGTCTGAGGCAACTACTATTTGCAGCAAGACCTCTGTTGTGTGGAATTCTGCTAGGTTTTAATGCCTCTCTTGTAAAATATATATTTGAAGATGCAGAGGAAGAATGAAGCAGTTTGGGCTGCAATATACGGTTCTAGCCAGTAATTTATCCAGAGTATAGTTGCAGCTTAACTTACTTTCTCTGCTGGCATCCACTAAAACTGCTCTTCAAAGTTTAATAAAGCTACAATCAGTGGCTACTTAGAGATGTAGTCCAAACTATAACTTCATCCTACACAAAGGACTGACAAAAGAGACTGCTGTAGGACACTCACTAGTCCTTATCAGGGTCCTGGAAAATGTGCATAAATTTCCCAGAAATAAGCTGAAAACAGTGATCACCTTTCCAGTAAGATGGGAGCACAGAGTATGTTGGTACAAAATGTGAATATTACAACTCTATTTCCAAAATATACTTTTTCTTCATTAACAGTCGACTTATTCTATGAAAATGAATCTCTCCGTTTTGATCAAAGTAGCATTTATTATGCAACTTTTTAATAACTACTCTTAAAATAAATAATCTTTTTTTAACATAGCAATAATTAATCTTCATTCAAATGGTAATTTAATGTGTTAAAAGCCCAAAGCGAAACTGGTCATTAACTGAACAGTGAAGACTGCCAGAAGAGTCATTATTGTTTAATAATGGAGAACATAGCGTGCTGAATGATTTGTTTTAATCCCAGAAGCTACTAGGGAATGAACTACAAAAGTTTTCAATCCTAAAAAACATTTTGTGATCTTATTTTTTGTTACACAAGATATTTTGTAATATCTTAACATAGGTTAACTATGGGACTTTCACTTTAAAAGGAAAATAAATCTGAAAATGTATATAATTAAAAAGACTTATTCCATAAGCATTACTCAGGTCAGTTAATAAAATGGTTACTGCATATGCTGGTGAATTCAATTTCATTATTCCTTAATGGAACACAATTTCTATGGTAAGATTACTATGTTTAAGATTACTAACAGCATTGTAATATACATGGGTTCTGGAGTCTAGTTGTTCATGATATTCAGTTACAGAAGCCTTCTTAGTTTTATCTAGTTTGAGAGACTTTAAAAGATATGTAATGGACAAATCACAAATACTTAAGAGAAATAGCTACAAATCACTGAATTCCCTCAAAGTTAAATTCATAGCCTTTTTATTTTCCCAGAAGTTAATAGCATAAGCTATTAGACACTTATATGGTTTTATATATGTAGACACACACACACACACACCACTGTCCCTTTTCCCATCTCTGCCCCCATTGACCCAGTAGAGTCATAGAAGGCCCGTCCCCATCTCTGGCACATTGCTGCCCCCCTGAGGTCATTCTTCAGTGTAATTGTCCTTTCTACCAGACCCCTCCATTTTTATTTTATGAGAAACAATCGAATTCCAAGCACATCCCATATTCCTGGCACAACCAAACTCTTACCTTGCTTAAAGTTATGATAAGAGGAATCTGAATACCAAATATAATGATCCTGGCTCTTAGCATTTAAGAGAGTTCTTAAACAAACAGACTCAAAGACGGACAGACAAACACATTTTAAAAATATATAACATATTATATTATCAGGGCTCGCCAAACCACAGCGAGCCCTGCTCACCAGCCGCGCTGTCCAGCGATCTGCACATGCGCAGATCGTTCTGCGCATGCGCAGCTCGCCCAAACCCGGCAAACACATTTTCACTATTACAATCTATGAATACCAAGTAATATAATAATACAAGGGAGAATGCAATAGCCAACATATTCCAGCTCATAAGGTAGCTTACATTCAGTAGCTTGCAAGCTTCAATTATTTATATTTAATATGACAGAAGATAAGGCCTTTTCAATGAAGAAATGTTCCACATACTTTATTTCCCATTTTAATTTGTTAAAGAAACAACTGTGAAACCAACAAAATGCCACATACAGATTAGCAGCTTCTGAGGGAAATGTGATCTAGACTATAATACTAGAAGGTAGGTGCACAACTGGTTAGAGACTATATTCAAAGAGTAGTTATCAGTGGTTTGCAGACAAACTGAGAAGGGTATATCTAAAAGATTTTGTAGGAGTAAATTCTAAATCTGGTATTTATTTAGAAATATCATTAATGATTTGAATAATGGAATATAGTTTTACCGATGATACCAAAATGGGAGGAATTGCAAGCACTTTGGAGGACAGAATTAGAATTCATAATGACTATGACAAATTACAGAATTGGTCTGAAGTCAACAAAATTACATTCAGTATATACAAGTTTAAAGTTCCTCACTTAGGAAAATCAAAGCAAAACTACAAAATGAGGAATAGCTGGGTAGGTGGTAGTTCTGCTGAAAAGGAACTGGGGATTATGGTGGATGACAAATTACTCAACTGGAGTAGTGCATCCAATTCTGGGTGCCACTCTCTATGAAAGACTTGGAAAAACTGGAGGGATTCCACAGGAGAATAGCAATGATAAAAGGTTTAGAGAAAATCTGACATGAGAAAAAGGTTAAAAATACTGAGCACGAGAAAAGAAAATTGAGGTGACACCTGATTTCAGTCTTCAAATATATTAAGGGCCATTGTAAAGAGGATGCTGATCAATTGTTCTTCATGTCCACTGAAGCCAGGACAAAAAATAATGGGTTTAAGCTTTAGCAAAGGAGAGCTTGATGAGACACGAAGAAAAACTTTCTAACTAAAAGAATTAAGGACTGAACTAGGATTCCAAGGGAGGGAGCGGAATCAACATTACTGGAGTTTTCAAGAACATGTTAAACATCTTTCAGGGATGATATAGGCTTACTTGGTCCTATGCCAGGGCTGGACTAGGTTATAATAATTGTATAACCATACACATACTGCCACAAAGATTGCAGAATTAGGCTTTAAAAATCAAGTCAGAATTAAATACTGACCATTACTATGTACTAATAATCTGAAAAAAACCCTTTCAGTTGTCTGATTTAAGGAACAAGCCCAAATATTTAGCCTAAATTATCTGGTTCTTGTGCATGTCAATCAGATATGTTACACTGCTTTAACATAGCAGTTTGACTGGAGAATGGTTTATAAATATGCTTAACTAAACTGCACTAAAGTTTAATTAGATGTTTTGCTTGACACTACTTATATTAAATATAGAATGCTTATGAATAGCAATGACACTTTTGGCGCTGACAGGATTAAAAGCAGATTTCCATTTGGAATAATGAAATAATTCCTTATTCTTAAGGAACACAGCAGGGATTTTTTTTGGAAATAGCAATCAGAATTTGTAAAATTATAGTTTAGCTGATAAATATGATCATTAAGTCATAAAAGACTTTTCAGTAACTGTGCCATCTGTTATAATAAAGTGTAATAATGGTGTGGAAATTATCTGTGCTTTCCACTGTAAGGTCTTCTATGTAAAAATATTTTTAAAGAGTAAGGGATTTAAAAAGGTGGCATTGGTTTGAAATGTCATTGACAAGTAACCTAAAAAAAATATGAACATTTTGTTTCTGGTAATTAACCCAGAATCAAAATTAATCAAAACATAATGCTAGAACACACTGAAATTCTTTGACAAGATAAATATATAAATGTTATTGGAAATAATCTCAGAAAACAAAACAAAACAAAACAAAACAACAAACCCCATGGCAATTAAATCATTTTTCATTTATTTTTCTTGAAATTATATAGATTCCTTCAAAACTATTTTGAAATAATCAAAACTTTAATCATGCAAGTGTTTAATAACTTTCAAGTAAATCAAACTGGTAATCATACCTTAATTTGTGCAAAAGGCCTGTCAAAACTTCCAACATAAAGAAGACCAACATTCTGGGTAAGTAATCTAAAAAAGAAAACATCATTTAAGACACTATTTGTAACTAAACACATTACTGTAACCATCTTTATTGTGATATTGCAGAACTGCTATTGAAATGAGATAAAATAGAGGATAAATTAAAGAAAAAGGACATACATTAAAGATAGGACACTATTTCCATCTAGAATAGCTCTTTAGAGTAACAGAATCAGAAAAATTGCAGTTTAAAACAAAGACAAACAGATTCACCACTCAAACTGTGAGTTTAACAGATTTAAAAGTCAAACATGCAAATGAAACATTATATACAGTGATATAACGGAAATGAATCACCATGACTAATCACAATGCAATAACAGAAAATCTGAGAGAATCTCTGCTGCGTCATTTAATGGCTTAACAAATAATATAATTAATAAATAGTCTAGTAGCACTTTAATGTCTAACGAACATGTAGATGAATATCAGAGGGGTAGCCATGTTAGTCTGAATTTACATAATCAACGGGAAGTCTTGTGGCACCTTATAGACTAACAGATTTATTGGAGCACGAGCTTTCGTGAGCAAATACCCACTTAGATGCACCTGATGAAGTGGGTCTTTGCCCACGAAATCTTATGCTCCAATAAATCTGTTAGCCTATAAGGTGTCTCAGGACTTCTCGTTGTTTAAACATATAGATGGTATCGTGAGCTTTCGTAGGCACAATCCACAGCTAGCTCTAGGTGCTACAAGTGGGAGACACATTTATGTGAAAAGACAAGCAAAATAGGTTGATGAAAAGTGGCTTGTGTTGACCTAACTTTGCATAGGTTGGCTCTCCCTGGTCCTGCACCCTTGGGACTTGACCAGTGCCAAACGAGGGAATTTGCTGGACCGGGGTTCCTGGCCAGGCTCCCTTCCAAATTGCCAGTCTCTGCTATTGGCCTCCGCTGGCCCAACTCTGCTGCTGGCCCCAGGTCATGAGCCTATCGCCACTGCTAGCCATGGCTGCCAGGATCCCAACTGCCAACCCCCCTGGCTATTGGACTAGCAGCTGCCTCCCACATTCCTACTGGACCACAGACCTTGCTGAACCAGTGAGTCCCTGGGACAGAGAGGTTCAATCAGTAGCACAGATAAGATCTTAGAAACAAAAAATTTTAGTGATATCTTAAAAGCAATATTTCCTTTTTTAAGTGAATAAATTTGAAAAAAACTCACTTATTTCTTACCTACATCCTGCTATACACTGAACATATAAGATTATTGAGCTACGTACATGCACACATACATATGTAAGTGACAGAGGTAGAACAATGACATTGTTTTAACTTGAGAGACTCAACTACACAAAAGAAAAAAGCCTCCGTTCAAAGAACAAAATATTCTGGGGGTTTTCCTAATTATAAGGAAAACACTTTATAGGAGAACCTCTTGCCTTAATAATTTTATATTTCAGAAAGGAGAAATGTAAGCTATGTTATCGTTTTACATAAGAACAACCATACTGAGTCAGACCAAAAGTCCATCTAGCCCAGTATCCTGTCTTCAAACAGTGGCCGATGTCAGGTGCCTCAGAGGGAGTGAACAGAACAAGTAATCGTGAAGTGATCCATCCTCTGTCGCACATTCACAGCTCTGACCAAGAACAGAGAATATCTCTGACCATCCTGTCTATCAGCCATTGCTGGATCTGTCTTTCGTGAATTTATCTAGTTCTTTTTTGAACCCTGTTCTAGTCTTGGCTTAACAACATCCCCTGGCAAAGAGTTTCACAGGCTGACTGTACATAGTGTGAAGAAACACTTCCTTCTGTTTGTTTTAAATCTGCTTATTATTAATTTCATCGGGTGACCCTTAGTTCTTGTGTTATGAGTAGCAATGTTAAACGGTTAACTGGTAAGCATGTTGATAAGCATGAGCCTTACCAGTATGCTTACCAGTTAACTGTTCCTTGCTGTTGAACTCCACTGGTGGCCAGCAGCACCAAGCCAGAGGAGACCTGGTTGTAGAGGGACTGGCCAGCTAGTGGATACCATGACTGCATTGGGACTTGTGGCAGGACTCTATGTTTACGTCCCTGGTGGGCTGGTCCTGATTTAAAATGGTAAACCAGTTAGGCGCTGGCATTTAACCATTTTAAGATCCAAAGTTAGAAGAAGTAAATTATGCTTCCTTATTTACTTTTTCCACACCAATCATGACTTTATAGACCTCAGTTATATCCCCCCTTACTTGTCTCTTATCTATGCTGAAAATGCATAGTCTTTTATCTTCTCTTCATACAGAATTTTTGTTGCCTTTTTCTGAACCTTTTCCAAATCTAGTATATCTTTTTTTAGACAGCTAAAATCTGCACGCAGCATTGAAGATGTGAGTGTACCATGGATTTATATAGATGTAATATGACATTTTCTGTCTTATTATCTATCTCTTTCTTAATGATACCCCAAATTCTGTTTGCTTTTTTGACTGCCACTGCACATTGAATGAATGTTTTCAGAGAACTATCCACAGAGACTCCAAGATGTCTTTCTTGAATGGGAAATAACTTTGCATTTCTGTTACTATTGTATAAAACAAATAAAAAACAGGGTTAATTTCATACTACACGTGTTTCTTTTCTATAGATTTCATTGCTAACACAAAGTGACAGTTAAAATATCTAAATTTGTCCTGAGCAAAATATTGTACAAGGTTTTAATTCTGTTAACTTGTTATTATGCTTTTCTTCCTCTCCATTATTATATTAGTAAACATTGCAACATCTAGAAACATCACATATTGCAAGCAAGCAGTATATGAGTTATTACTGATGCAGTTTCTTGCTAGATGTTAGAACAGAAGAAAAGATTAATACAATCAAACAGACCAATCATTTCAAGTCGTGGTTTGCTTTATGTGTGTTACGCCAGGACACACACAGCAAAAATACCAGGATACAACACTAACATTTCTGATAGTGTATGATGTAACCTGCATGTTTACGGATGCATAGCTTATAGTGAAAGATTTAAATTTTGGTCCTGCTCTCAAAATTCTGAGTACAGGCAGTCCCCGACTTACGTGGATCCGACTTACGTCGGATCCCTAGATACGAACGGGGTGAGGCAACTCCCGCACATGTGCAGCAGCATTCCCGGAGCTCGCTCACCTGGGTCCTAGGATCCTCCTCCTCCTCGGGCCAGCTCCGACTGGGGTCCCGCAGAGCTGCCGGGCAGAGGAAAAGTGCCTCCCCCCACCCCCCTGCCAGCAACAGGCTGCCCAACAGACAAAAGCAGCCTCTCTGCCCCTCCCCCCCTCTATACATGCCCGGCTCGCACATGTGCAGCAGCATTCCCGGAGCTCGCTCACCTGGGTCCTAGGATCCTCCTCCTCCTCGGGCCAGCTCCGACTGGGGTCCCGCAGAGCTGCCGGGCAGAGGAAAAGTGCCTCCCCCCACCCCCCTGCCAGCAACAGGCTGCCCAACAGACAAAAGCAGCCTCTCTGCCCCTCCCCCCCTCTATACATGCCCGGCTCCCGGAGCGCAGCAGCGTCCCCGGGGCTCGCTCACCTGGGTCCTAGAATCCACCTCCTCCTCCTCTTCGGCCGGCTCCAACTGGCCTCTGCCTGCAGCAGCTGGCCACAGGGACAGGGATCCTGCAGAGCTGCCGGGCAGAGGAAAAGTGCCTCCCCACGCCCGCTGCCCCCTCCCCTGAGCAACAGGCTGCCGAACAGCAGACAAAAGCAGCCTCTCCGCCCCTCCTCCCCCTATACATGCTGGGCTCCCTGGGCAAACAAAGACTCCACCAAAACAAACAAAGTGCTGGCCTCATTGTGTTAGCAAAAAAAGGACCCTCCTCCTAGAACCCTGGGTGGTGTGTGGAAATAAAGCTATTAGCTCAAAGCATGGTGCAGAGCTGTTTGGTATTTGATGAGTTACTCTTTTAGTCCTGAGTTTGTCACAGGGACAGAAATAGATGTGAAATCTTCTGAACAGGGGAACAGACAGCAAAACAAACATTAGAGGGGAGTTAACCTTTCCCTATGCTATCCAAAACTAAAAAAAATGTTTGGCTAGAGTTTCCCCTACAATATGTACCAGTTCCGACTTACATACAAATTCAACTTAAGAACAAACCTACAGTCCCTATCTTGTACGTAACCCGGGGACTGCCTGTACTGTAGGGCTGATTCTTGTATCCATCAACTATTGTAAAATAAGCTTTACAGTGAGGATAGAAGGCCTTAAATAAGTGAGAATATGGTCTTTTATCTTGTAAAACCAGCACTTGGGCTTGAGTACCCAGGTGCAGTACCTATTTTATAAGAAGTTCTGTGATGTGCATTATAGAACAACTGTTAAATAGAGAAAAATGCCTATTGAAGAGTCCTTGTAGGTAGAATATACTCCCCAAAGAGAAGATACAATGACAATGCTGTAAGATGACCCCATGCTTAATCTTAGTGAAGACAAAGGAAAGAGAATCTTTTACATACTCCTATCATATATATCAGCCCTATATAGAAACAGTGTGCACACATACAGCCACACCCACACACAAGTGCACAAAGCACTGAAGAAAAAGTACAATTGTAGAATCCACACAATTTTAGTTTTATCATTGATTTACTTGTAATGATCAGGTCAAGAATATTTACATGTCCTTCAGCCTGACAAAGTAGTAATGCCAAACCAGTTTTGAAATTTATTTGCGAAAATACTTGCTAATTGGTTTTCATCTACAGAGAGTTATTATTGAAGATAAATAAGATGAAAAAATGAAAATCACCTAATTCTTTTATAGGTCTTATTTTTTATCCAACCTATCTGACATAGAAGCCAAAATATATACAACTTTGATCTGTGAACTTAGTGTAATCTGGTCAACACATTTCTTATGTGGCCATCCTTGAGGAACCCAAGTACCACAAACATGAAGTAAAATCATCAGTGATAAACATTAGTAATAGATAGGGATAACCCTGGATTCCTGATGGAGAGGAATTCTGCTATTAGTATGTAGAGAATGGTAGGTATCTGTGGCATGTCAATATTGATC